AAAACATGAGTAATTTAGTTCTCATTCTTATAAAGGATTTTGTTGCTGGGTACAGGATGCATCTGCAATACTTAAAAACCAAACAAAATTCCCAAAGCACAACATAGCTTGGTTTGCCATAAAATAACCTGCTTGTGTCCAGAGTCCCTACTGACCACCCATTAAAAAAACAAAACAAAACCAACAAAAAACCACACCACCAAAACCAAACCAAAGCAAACAAAACAGCCCCTCACAAAACCAAACCCACAGAAAATCCCCCACCCACCAACCATTCCCTCAATGTTATCATTCTAATAAATATGAAAAACTAAGATTCTTTTACATTCAAAGGGCTTTCAGGATCATAGCCCTAACTCGCCACCGAAAGCACACTATGATACTTCAGCGCCGCCAAGCAAAACAAGCACCAGATGGAAGACTGGTTTCCCATAGCTGCCGTTTCCAATGTAACCCAACTATTAAACTAAGTAATACCAAAGCTGTAGTTTTTCTTTTCTTCCTCAGCTTCTCTTTTATGCATGTCAATGATCCCAAACAACACACCCAGCTCCCCCTTCATGCTCTACCTAGCTCTCCATTCAGGTTCTGTCTGGACAAGAGGCATCTGGACTGCCTGATGCACAGCAACTCCTGTGTGGATGGGACAGTTCCCTTCATAGGAATTTTTGATGTCCCAACACACCAGACCCACGACCGGGTCATTTGGTGCCCCTGTTGCAGATCAAGCCAACCCCATCGCCTGGTCCTCAGCTTGCAGAGTTCAAATGGCTCTGGGGCAGTATGTCGCGCAGGAGTGTTCTACCAACTTCTCTTTGAAATCTCTTTCATTCTGACGTATTTCCTAGAAATTGGTTAAGATTCAAAAGTACTTAAGGGAAGAACTGAGACACATGCGCAAGACATGATGATTACATACATGTATGAAAAAAGGAGGCTAAAAAATATATTCAATAAATAGGAAAATGACTAGGATAGCAAGTGAGATGCCAGAAATAATGTGGCACATACTCAGAAGCTTGAACATTTTTTCCAACTGCATTACCAAACCAATAGAAAGATATATTATATTCCTAGATATCATGCTTTATTCCCTTTTCATATTATCACGGTGCCACCATAGCTAACACCATCGAACACAGTATTCCTAATGTTTGTTTGTAGGAAATGGCAAATATGAAGGGGACAGCAGGACACGTAGTAAAGTGTGAAAAAGTTGGGACTGTGAGATAAACCTTAATAGTATGTTGCTGCTGTAGTCATCAATAATAAAATCTCCACACACTCACCCCCAAGTCATTGCCAGTTGATTTTTGGAATTAATTGTACTTTTCTGATGAATGGGGCAAATTCAGCTTTCATGTATCACCTCTGAAGGTAATACTGCCCTAACTGTCAGGTTACACAAGGACTGTTCTCTTTTCAATCAGAAGGGCCACTTTTTTTTTTTCCCTTAATGTAAGCCTGAAGGCCAAGTAATTTTTCAAACAGCACTGGTGTTCTTGCCAGAGTTTATGGCAATGGGATAACGGAGCAGTCAAGAGTTCTCATAGTAATTTGCAAGTCTTAACTGCAGCAATGTTAAAAACATGCAAAAGCAGTAATTGATTTTGAAAAAACACTGAGAGTTGATTTTACGCTTGTTAAAGAGCACTCTAGTAATTATCTCGATCATCAACATCTTAAAATAGTAAAAATTAATTTTGTGCTTAAATTGCTTACATAAAATACAGATGATTTATGTTAATGGTCTAAAATTGTGAAAAACGTGGAATATATGACCTTCAGACTCCCATCTTCCCCCTTTGCCTGAAGATTCTTACTGACAATGACTCATCTGATGGCAATGGTTTATTCTTAGCAATTACAGACTTAACATGAATGTTTAAATACCATCAAAAATATTATGATATTTCAAAGTACATTAATGCAACGTTGGTACAATCTGTGAAATCCAGAACAGTCACAAGCGAACACCAGATGAAAAGCTACTTCCACTTCCCGCCTCACTCTCAAATAGGAAGCTCAAACTGGGCTATGAAGTACCTTATACAGAGCCTGGAGGACAGGGTCTGTGCACAAGGCTGGTCGCTAGCAGGCTGGATTCTAAACCCCATAACCACCCTCTAAAATCCTGGATCCTTTTAAAAAGGCCCACAAAACCAAAAAAGGCACAACAAGACAACTGTGTCTTTTCATTAATTTGGGTTACTTATCTTTCTTCTGTAAAGAGACGAGATGCTCAGTCTCAGAGAACGAGACAGACATTCTGTGAAAACATCCTTTTGCACTCTTTCATCAGATCTCTTCCTCATTTTATTCTCCCTATGCTTGTGCATAACCACAGCACCAGCACTGCATTTTGTTCTCTTCACTAAGGAAGTATTTTCTGACTTGCCTCTCATATCGTTGACACTCACAGAGTTCTGGCTTAGGGGTTTTTTTAAACCTCAACTCAGGGATCAGTCAGATTGGCTTTTAAAGAAGCTACTGCCCAGCTTGTTCTACTTAGTCTACTCCTCAACTGATATAATCTGATGTACAGACTGATACGTTTCGATCAGTAATGTTTTGTTTTCAAAGTAGATCAGTCTGAGGACTCTACATTAAATCCACAGCTGAGCTGAACTGAAAACAGCTGAAACTGTTCGAGACTGAGTGGATCGCCCCACTGGGTCTTTTCTTTCTTGCTCCTCACTGTTAGTCTCTGCTAAGGATTGCAGCCTCCACAGCAAAGGAAGCAAACCAGAAACTCCACCTTAGGTGCTTCAGTTGATAATTCCAGTGTAGAGTTTTGTGTCATGTTTTGCACCAGAAGGGGATAAGACAGCTCTACCCCCTCCCTCCCGTTCATGCACTCCTGCCATCTACCTTGCATTGGATCTAGCAACTGGGCAATCTCAAGTTGAGGTGGTTCAGACTTCTGATCCACCTCAGTCTCCAAATGGCGGGGGGGGAGGGGGGGGAAATCACTCGATTCAATGCAGCAGAGGGGGCCAAACAATACAATCAGGATGGCAAGCTGGAAAATGAGACGACTATTTAGCAACAACCTGCAGTTATACTGATTTAAGGACAATGTGAAACTATCCTTAATGCAACACCGCCCCCCGCCCCATCATGTTTATTTCATCATCCTTTTGAAGATCTTCACTCTGCTCCAGGGTAGCAGAGTGAAGATATTGTTGCTGCCATTTGTTTTCTTAAGTGACTTAATCACATTGCACATAAAACCAATGAAATTGTGATAATTTTGCATTACAGAAGATTAATTTATTTCTGTTTTTAAAATACTACTTTGCTGTTTTTCCCATTTGTAGTTGGTGTATTGAAAACAAACTGGTATACTCGAAATCCTTGTGATAAGCAACCTTTTTATTTTGCAAAATTGTGAAGATCACAGTAAATTATTTAGATTGAATTCTCATAGTATCTATTTAAATACTTGATTCAGTGATAGAATTACATATTTCAAGGCACAGCAGGAAAAGGTTATTTATTTCTTGATCAATTTCTTCTATTAAAAATTAAAATGCATAAGTTCCTTCTACTACTTAATTACAAGTTTACTGCCTCCTTATAAATTTACTCTTCTGTTTTGTCCCTGACTTCTTTAAAAATAAACCCAAAATGTACTACGCCAGCAGTTCTTTTATTCCCTATGTATCACGACAGCCCATACTAAATCCATGCCAAAGTATAAGGAAATAGGGCCCCCCAAACTTGCACATAATCCTTTTCCCACCACAGTGATCTACCTCTACCTCCCCTTGCTCTATTTTGCCATTCATTGCACTGAATCTTTCCTACTCCTCTGCAGTACCATCCTCTCTAATCACAATCTCCAACTCCACCTGTCTCTGTAGGTGAAAGCTTGGACTCTAGATGAAAAAAGGAAGCCCGATGAGAAGTGCTTCCTATTATTACAAATACTGAAAGGAAAAATAGAGAGTAACACTCTATTCTTTCAAATCTTGGACAATGTAATTCCAATAGCCTCACAAATACAACTTCCAGGAAAACAATCTGCCAGGAAAAGGAAGCCACAAGACTCCTGAAAACAAAACATTCAATGTTTTCAGTAGTTTTAAGAGAGATTAATATGCAGAAAGGTTTATAAATCACACTTAAAATTACAAATTACAAAATTCTCAGCCCTGCAGGCGTATTTCCCAGCACATGAAACTCAGTTAAAGAACACTTGGTTTTTCCAAGGCACACATACCTAAATTTAGAGGTCAGGAAGGAAAGAACATGGGGATAGAGAAGGAAATGGAAAGAGGGAAAAAAAACGGGCAAACATGTTGAATGGAGGGAAATAAAATGACAGATTACAATCGGAGACCGAAAAAGAATGCAAGCAGTAAAAAAAATTCAAGGAGTACAGAAGAAACAAAGTACTGCACTAACACAAACCATTTCTAACTGATTAGCCAGAAATTGTTGTCTTAGAAGCTGACTCTCAAACCGGGAAATAATCCAATGATTAACTGCTAGAAAAGTAGAAACTATATAAAAAATTGATATGAGAACTTTGTTTTTTGCATAAAAGCTTTCTATTTTTAATAATTTTTAAGAACTTCCAGCTTACAATGGGGGAAAAAAAACCAAACAAACAAACAAAAAAAAAACCATTGAAACGAACATCAAGAAATCCAAGCTGCCAATTCTTCTCTTCTTTTTCCTCCAGCTTTCTGTACATCCTCAGCCTCCCCCCAAAATGTACTATTTTAATGCAAGCCCTACACCAAATTTTTGATCAACCAGAGTATCAGTGCTCATCTACAATTTTGCTGGGCTTTTTGGAGCATTTCTAGCACGTAACACACCTCAAATCCTACCCTTACTCTGTCTTTAGACTAAGACAACTCATACTGAAGCGCTTCTATTTCAAAAGCAGGTAGTATTTAACTGCTATATGCTTATGCATGCCTTACAGTTTTAAGATGCAACACAACTTGTAACAAATGTTAATTCAATCTGAAAGGACTTAAACCTACCTTTAAACTAGACTCATAGTCTGTGTTCACTTTGAACATAAGCCCAAGTCGCAAATGAATTTCCTTGGCTCGACAAAAGCTGGGATCAACATAAAGCGCCTCCTGAAATGCTTTAATTGCCCTGAAAGAAAAACAGAGATTAAGAAATTATTTTCTACTGAAGTATTACTTTCTCATCAATGTTATTTAGATGACTAGTAGAAAGTGGATCGGAAAGCACTGTTACAGAAGAACATATCCAAATAATGGTTTACCTGCAATGTTTTTGGTGCTTGGCTTTTGATTCTTCAAGGACTGGGTAATTTTGTATTCCAGATATCCTGGTATATTTAAAAGTCTAATCTTTTCTATTAATTTAGAGAAACTAATTTGCTGCATGGAATAGAGTAACATATCTGCTATTTCAGAAAGGATGACTCAGGAATTAGCAACAAAATTAGTGCAACTTTAGAACAATGCAGTGATCATTCATGTCACAACCAACTGCTACGTTGCTTTTGATTCCAGGTAGTGCAGACCCCTGAGAGCAGCACAGAAGGCCTAGAAGGAGAGATGACGCGCTTCTCCGCCCACTGCACCAACCTGCTCCATTTTCCGCTTTGTCCTCCCTTTCTTAGCACCAGCGCTGTACAGGGACTCAGGTAATACCTACTGCTCCATTACTTTCCAGTCACTCAATTACCTCCAGGAAAAAAAAAAGGTATGAAAGCCTACCACCTCCTCCCACTCTAACTCGCTTTTCATATTCCCATGATAGGTGAAGATGGCTCTGATTCTATTTCCTTACCTTTAAATCCTCTCTACACATGCCCCTGTTCATGATGGCACTGTACCAGATAAAACAAAAATGCTATGTAACAACCGTATCTTGGAGCAGAAAAAACATGATTCTAAGCAGGACTGTTTTGCGTCTCGGGCCAACTGCATAAAATTAGGTCAGCTGAAATGCAACTAAAAGATAACAGATTTAAATTCACAAAGGAATTGAGAAAGAAGCTAAGACTCGTTCTGTTAGCTCCCCTGAAATCCAATGACAGGTTGAAACAAAATACCATCACATACACCACTGCTCGTACAATGACAGAAATCAGAATCGGTCTCACTTCGGGTAGATTCAAGAACCTAGGCCAGGGAAGCCAGTCCCATTTGCTGTCCCAAGCAATCCCAGAGATCGACACTGAGCAGGCAGATGACAGGCAAGCCTATGGGGAGAACTGTACCCACCGCGGAGCAGCACAGGGACACCAGACAGGAATTACCACAGTGCTAAAATCACACCATGTTTCAGCAAATTGATTCCATTCCTACTCTGCAAGCGTAGTATTATTTATAAGGACAAAAGGTCAGCAGTTGCAACGGGAAATTGAATAAATATTTTTCATAGACTTTTTTATTCACAAAACACATAAATGATCATTTTTGAATCCATCAGCAAAAACACTACTTCTGCTCTAAAATTCTTACAGGCTCTTCTCCCATTCTTGATGGCAAAGCAAACCAAAGGCACAGAACTTCCTCTAGACAATGCAACAAAATTGTTTGTACCTAAAGCATTACCTGACTTGTTTAAATATAACTTAAGAGCAGATGGGCTCAAAAAATATTACATTTTTATTGTGGAACTGAAGCTTCTTCTATTACAGTTGTTCAGAAAGGGTTTCCTTACCTTGTACCCTAGTTTTCTACTTCAGAAAATGAGCAAGTGTAGTGCAAAAGGGACAAACTTGCACTGGCTAAGCAGTCTCTCACATCTCATCTAAACTTCCCTGGAATAGTATGGGTGGTGATGAGTCACACACCTCAGTGTCTGCACTGAAATCATAACAAACAAGGATGCGTGTCTCACAGCAGTATGCTCACCATCTTCTACAAGAACGCCACTCAAACTGGAAGGCCAAAGACTGGACTGATCACTAAATATCAGCACACATTTTAAGCCATGCTTTTGTTATGCCAAAGTATAGATTTTATGACTGTATATTTGCATGGCTTGTCTCTACTCTAATATGGTACTCATTATGTTAGCCACTGGTATTTAAAATCCATTATTTGCATCTTGTTCAAAGACAGTATTCTGAGTTCTAAAAAGGAAGAAAACCAGTGTCTATGGTCCCTATCAAAGAGAAGACAAAAATCAGGAATAAGACATTGTGGTTCTACACCACATGTGAGATTGTGACCATGCTCATATACATTTTGTGAACCTCACATCCTTCACATTTTAGCTAGCTTGCTCGGTCAGAAAATATAAAGTATTTCCACATTTCCCCTACGTCATGTCTCATTCGCAAGGATCACTGAAACATGGATTTCTGAAAAAAAGCTTAAGAGAAACTGTAAGAGACAAAAATATTTTTATAGTCTCTTGCTTACTGAACAGGAAATATTACTCATTGTCACAGCTGAGCAACAGAGTTAAACAAAGCCACAAGTATAACAACCTACTTTTAAGGACAGTTTTGAAATTTAGTTTGTATACTGTCATTCATTCAAAAGAACAAGATTGTTGCCTACCCCAGTCTCTCAGAGAAACACAGCACTTAAAAACCAGTAAAATTATAATCAGCGGACAACATGAAAAGACTGTGTCACATTTAGCACAGAACCTGCTAGTCACAGACAGCCCCTATGAGGTTTGTGTAAGGTTTATCTACCTACAGACAACATGGCAACACCATTCACCCTTGTCCAAGCTGCTTGTGGAGTCAGGTTCAACATTAGTAGTTAGCAAGTCTTTGAGATAATGTTACAACCTACCACAATTTTCCAATGAAGACAAGCCCAAAATGTACAAAGAGGAAGAAAATTACTAGGACAAGGCATCATTCCCCTAGACACAATCTGTGCAGGAAGTAATGGCGTGCTTTTCAACCCACTTTGATGGATGCTTGGAAAAGTGTATCTAATCAACCAAGTCAAAACAAAAATCTCTGTACCCTTTAACACACTATTGGAGTTGCCATGCTAACAGCTAAATAATAATATTCTAGCTGTACTTTTCAGTTGTATTTGATCACTTCTAAACTGATGGTTTCAGGAGGAAAGGCAGAGGTGCTTTAAAAGCGTTATTTCCTTGAAAGTTTAAAAATTTCAAGGGAGCGCAGTCAGGGAGCATTGATTGCTCCCAGCCATTGCATTGATTTGGCAATGGAATGGACACACTGGTAGAGAGTTTGGTGAAAGACACTCCACTTAGAAATTTTCTGTCAGTTTCTAATACATGATGGATCTACATTTAAGAATGAATTCATATGCACTCAAAATGCTAGGGAACTCCTGGGTCAGTGTTTTGCTTGCATCTTAAATTCTGTATCCTTGGACGCCATAATAAAAACTAAATGGAATTCTGAAAGGTAACATAAATTTAAACTTAGAATGAAGCATAATTACATCAGTAAATTAAGGGGAAAATTATGTAAGAATACACCAAATATTCCCCAAAGCAGCTTTTCTAACTAAAAATCAGATATTTTATCTTCTCCATTCAAAATAATGGCCTGCATCTTACTTAACTCTGGTGTTAATTCAATATCGATTATGCAATTTGTGGTTTTTCCCCGATGACAATCGCCGATAATAACAACTACAAATTACTTCCACTACTTCCGTGAAAAAGGGCATCATCAAAATTTCACAAATAAAGTGATCTGAAAGGCGGCATTTTCAACAATTTCTACCAGTGGTAGGTGCTCATGTCTACTTCGGTAACTGTAGCCTGATTCTAAATAGTCAGTAGGATTTTCACAGAATAAAACACTCCCAAGTCTGAAAAGACATTTACTTATTAACTCTTACAGACAAGCAATTCAACACCATAGCTGAATTAATATTGATCTAATTTTGCCTATGGGAAACATTTAAACAAAATAGCAATGCACTCAAGATTACAGGACACATCACAAACATGGATTACAGTAAAAACTTTAGTTTTCTTTTGGGGCTGCTCGTTTCCCAGTGCCATGCCCAGAGCTCCAGACTCCGTCCCTTACTACATCAATAGCAAAACATCTGCAACATCACTGACATTCATTTCAGTTGCAAGTGCTCAGTAACATCCAACACAGATGACATCGGGGCTTGGTACAGGTTGGTACAACACAGGAGGAAGTGGAAAGAAGGGGCACGTGTTATAGTAGTAGTAAAGGGAAATGAGAGAGAATGTGGCCCTATGTTGATAGCTGCAGTCCTTTCTGGCCATCTGGTTGCCCGAGTCCGGCCTTCCAGATACAGCAGGAGTCACTTGATCCTTGTACGCATCTTTGTTTGCTCTGAAACATCACTAATCCCATTTCTGTCATCTGCCCAAGCCTACATCCAGAAAGGTACGGGTCTAGAGGATCGAAGCCATCTGAGTTACTCAGATGTTTCCCCTCAAAGCTCTCTTATGGTTTGACCAAAACCAGAAGAGCAGATAAGCTAACAGCTTGATGATCTGCCAAATATGAAGCAGGACTTGGCTTAAGAGGCTAACAGCTTCCTTCAGAGGTGATGGCACACAGCCTTCCTCAAGTAGGTTGTCAGTCTCCACCATTAACTAACTGGCCTTCATGCACAGACGGAGCTTTTCATTTTAATCCTTCAGCAGACTAAACATACATTAGTCCGAAAGATAAATCATCGAATGAAGGGTTGGGAGCTCTCATACTACAGAAATAAATGACAATTGTCTAAATTCAGCAG